CTTTTGAGAACATCATCAATCTCTACCGACTGTCGACCGCAATTTTGGCGTTCACCGACTGTAGAAAGAAGGTGAAGGCTCAGTACCCGGAAGTGAACATCATGATGGTTACCTTCGGCGAACAAGAAGAAGGAGTGGAAGAGGACGGTGAGAGTTTCTCTGCTGACTTTTGGCCTTTGATTAAGCTGAGGTGGGAGCATGATGCAGAGGGACGCACTAACTTTCTTCCAGCCTTTGATGCTGAGCTGGTGGCCGTAAAGGAAGAAGAAGAGGAGCAAGGTGCTGCAGTGGAGAATCAGGCAGACCTGGCCGAAGTTCAGCCTCCCGTAGTTCATCCAGTCTCCTCAGATGAAGTGCAATTAGCTCCTTCTGAAGCAGAAGTGTCATCTCTGCATGCTGGGGATGAGCCACCTCCACCACCTTTTCCTGTTGAGGAGCAGCCTCCTCCTTCAGCAGATTAGCTTAGGATTTTTTATTTTATTTTTGTTAGTTGTGGTTGTAATGAACATGTTTGTAATTGATTTTTTACTAATTTATAAAATTTTTGAAGTTATTTTGATGTGTATATGTTGATGTTTGTTTGCTATTTTGTTTCAAGTAATTCACTTCGGATTAAAAGAAAGTGACTTAATTAATACGAGGAACTGACCTCGGACACCCAGCAAAATGGACAGCCAAGGAATTGGCTTCGAATATACGTGAGGTGAACCTCAAATATGCAGATGAAAAGAAATGAAGTAACTCACTCCTAAAGTAAAGTGCAACTGGTTAATAAATCGTAACCCAAAAGGTGAAGTGACTAAATAAGTCACAATGGATTAACTTCGAGATTAAGTGAAATTCACTTCTAATATACAAAAGAGTAGAAAGAACTGAATCACTTCGAATGTGAAGTGAAATTCATTAATGAGATAAATGAATTGAGCTCGTATATACATTGAGCAGAAAGAGAGAGAATAATGACGATTATAAAAATAAGACGAAGTTCACTGGAAAGAAGTGTATTAAGGGTAAAACTTCTTCAAGTTATTGACATTCTAGACTCTAGGAACCCTTTTGCCTTTAGTGTCCCATAGGATATAAGCACCTGGGTGCGACACTTCGGCTACAGTGTAAGGGCCTTCCCAGTTTGGTGCTAACTTTCCGAATCGAGTTTCAAACCCCGTTAGACCAACTTTCTTGAGAGCAAGGTCTCCTATTTTGAATGTTCGGGGTCGAACTCGTTTGTTGTAGAAGTTTGCTATTTTCTGCTTGTAAACTAGAGTTCGAAGTTGAGCTTCTTCTCTGACTTCGTCAAGCAGATCAAGGTTCTCACGAAGCAGTTGTCCATTTCGTTCTTCATCAAAATGGGTGACCCTGAAGCTTGGGACTTCTATCTCGATAGGAATGAATGCTTCTGTACCAAAGGCCAAATGATACGGTGTTTCACCTATTTCAATTAATTATAATTTTAGAATGCGCTTTACGCGTTATGCACATTTAATCTAAGGTAAAGCCGCAGAAGAAGAAATAAAATAATATGAAAATTAATCAAATAAACCAGGTTTGAAGTAATACCTGTGGTAGTTCGGCTCGTGGTTCTGTATACCTAGAGGACGTTGTTGAGCTCATCTGCCCACCTAGCTTTATGCAACTCTAACCTTGGTTTTATCCCCTCAAGTATAACCTTGTTGACAGATTCTACCATCCCATTAGATTCCGGGTGGTACATCGAGGTGAATTGCAATTTGATCCCATAACTAGAGCAGAAATCTCTGAATGAGGAGCAGTTGAACTGAGTTTTATTATCAGCCACAATCTGATTCGAGATCCCATATTTGCAGATGATTGAACTGAAAACAAAGTCTTCGACCTTCTTGGAGGTAAGACTGGATAATGGCTGAACTTCAACCCATTTCGTAAAATAATCCACACCAACAATCAGATGGGTTACACCTCCGACCCCCTTCATAAATGGACCTAAAAGGTCAAGTCCCCACTGAGCAAATGGCCAAGGTGCTATCAGAGTAGTAAGCTTTTCTGCTGGCTGATGAATTAGATCTGCGAAGAACTGACATTTCTGACACCTCTGTACGAACTGAGTGGCATCTTTATACATATTGGGCCAGTAATATCCTTGTCTAAGGACTTTATGAGCCAAAGTTCGAGCACCAATGTGACTTCCGCAGACACCTTCATGCACCTCCCGATGTGCGTATTCAACCTCATAAGGGTTCAAGCAGCGGAGTAGAGGGAGTGAGAAAGATCTCTTATAGAGGACTTCATTAATAAAGGTGTACCGAGATGCTTTCTTCCTCAACCTCATTTCTTCATGTTCATCTGCAGGCACTGTGCCATCTCGTAAAAATGAGATAATTGGATCTGTCCAGCTCGGTGTATTGGGATCTGTGCTAATTTCCATTATTTTTGGCTTTAGGAAACTAGGCTCGTCCAGAATTTCAACAAAAATCGATCTAGAGCTTTGGTTGCCATCAGAAGCAAATTTGGAGAGGGAATCTGCTTGCTCATTTTCAGCTCGGGGTATTTTGCTCAAATGGAATTTATGGAATTTGGATTTCAACTCGGCCACCAGAGTTGCATACTTCATCATAACAGGATCAACTACTTCACAGACTGAGTTGACCTGATTGACTACTAGTTGTGAATCACTGTATATTTGTATCGCTACAACCTTCAGTTCAATTGCCAACTGTAAGCCAAGTAGCAGAGCCTCATACTCAGCCATATTGTTTGTTGCATTGAAGTTAAATTTCAGAGCATGTTCACTTCTGTACCCATCTGGGCCAAGTAGGATTGCACCAGCGCCAGAACCTTTGTTACTTGATGCTCTATCAACATACAGAATCCAGCTGTCTAGCCCGGGCTGGGAATCAGAGTGAGCCGAGGTGCATTCTACGATGAAATCTGCAAGAGCCTGAGCTCGAATTGCTAACCTCTGTTGAAATGTTATCTCGAATTCTCCAAGCTCAACTACCCATTTAATCAATCTTCCTGAGCATTTTGGCTTCTGTAAAATTTGTCTGAGGGGTTGATCTATGAGGACTATGATCGAGTGTGATTGGAAATATGGTCTCAGTTTCCTAGCCGAGGTGACAACTACTAAGGTTGCTTTCTCAACAATAGAATATCTGATCTCAGCTCTATGTAACACACTGCTGGTGTAATAAACTAGCTTCTGTTGCTTCCCCTCTTCTCTCACTAGCACAGAATTGATGGCTTCATCTGATATGCCGAGGTACAGGTAAAGGATTTCTCCATCATTGGCCTTTATCAACAAAGGGGGTGAGCTAACATAAGACTTTAGCTCGTCAAAAGCAACTTGGCATTCTGAATTTCATTCAAACTTCTTCTGTTTGCCAGATTCATCCTTCTAGGCCGCCAATCTCATGATCTTAAAGAACGGCAAGCATTTATCTGCTGATTTTGAGATGAATCTATGAAGAGTTGCCACCCTCCCTGTCAACCTCTACACATCTTTTACTGACTTTGGTGGTTCCATTTCAGCCACTGCTTTGATCTTCTCGGGGTTAACCTCAATCCCCATGAAGCCTAGAAATTTTCCAGACTCCACACCGAAGATAAATTTTGCTGGATTCAACCTCATTCTGTTCTTTCTAAGATTGTTGAATGTCTCCTCGAGGTCAGTTAAATGATCTTCAGCTTTCAAACTTTTCACCACGATATCATCAACATAAACTTCCAGATTCTAGCCTATTTGAGTTCGGAACATGATGGTAACCATCTTCTAGTAAGTGGCACCTGCGTTCTTTAAGCCGAAGGGCATCATCACGTAGCAGTAGATTTCGTCTCCGGCATAGAATGAGGTTTTCTCTTCATCCTCAAGAGCCACCAGGACTTGGTGATAGCTAGAGCATGCATCCAAGAGACTTAATCTCTCATTTCCAGAAGCTGCCTCAACCAGCTTGTCAATGTTTGGCATTGGGTAACAGTCTTTTGGACATGCCTGGTTGAGATTAGTATAATCGATGCACATTCGCTATTTGCCATTTGCTTTTTTCACCAACACAGGATTGGTGACCCATTCACAGTAGTCAACCCTTCTAATGAAGCTGGCTTTTAGGAGTTTTTCAACTTCTTCCTTGATGACCTTTAACCTCTCCCCTCCAAAGAGGCGTCGCTTCTAGGCCACTAGTTTCTTGAATGGATTAGTGCTGAGTTTGTGTTGAGATACCGAGGTGGGAATTCTCGGCATGTCTGCTGAGGTCCATGCAAAAACATCTTTTTTGGCTGGGAGAAAGGTTATCAGCTCTGCTCTCTCCTCGGGGTTTAGCCGCGTTCCTATCTGTGTTTTCTTATTCTGGTTTGTTTCATCAATCTGTACCTCCTCAACATCTTCACCCGAAGCAGCTCGGGTTTCATCCTTAGGTCGGTTATCAAGGATTTCGACCCCCATCACTTGTCGATTGTTGTGGATTTTCGGTGGAGGGTTCTCTGCTGGTTGGTCCTTGTTTTTTTGTGGTCTTGTAACCGAAGTGAGATAGCAGTGTCTGGCCACTTCCTGGTTACCTTTGAGTGTTGCAATTCCCATAGGGGTTGGAAATTTCATGCAGAGATGAGATTGAGAGATCACAGCTCGGATCTCTGTTAATGTGGGCCGGCCAATGACAATGGTGAAAGAGGAAGGCATCTTGACCACCAGAAACCGAACTGAAGGGGTCACATAGGTTCGACCACTTCCAAATGCAACGTTCATGGTTAGGACCCCTTCGACTAGAACTGGTTGGTTGTTGAAGCCATATATAGGACCATCATAATGCTGTAGCAGAGCTAGGTCGAGCCCTAGGCTTTCAAAACAGTGGTAGTACATGATGTTAGGTGCACTGCCAGTGTCAACAAGTACACGCTGGACTTGATAGTTGTTGATCATTACAGAGATGACCAAAGGGTCGTTGTGAGGTGTTACCACCTCTTTAAAATCAGCAGGTGTAAAAGTGATTGGTTGATCTTTCCAGTCAGCATCATCAATTTTCCTTTTTTGAGCTCGGTTCTGGTGCTTGACCTCTCTGACATGTAACTTTCTTTGTTTGGAGCTCATCCCCCCTGCTTCCAATCCTCCTGTAATCATGTGTATAATTCTCGCTGGTGGTGGAAGAGGAGGTGGGGCTTGTTGATGTCCCACTCCTTGCCTGTTCGGTGAATTATGGGTTCCTTGAGGTTGTGGTCCCTGTTCTCTGACAAATCTTGGCTGTTCAGCTTTCTAGATGTACTCATTCAACATTCCTTTCTGAGCTAGACTTTCTAGCTCAGACCTCAGATTGTTGCATTGTTCTGTTGTATAATCGTGATCTTGATGAAAATCACAATATCTAGTATGATCTCGGCTAGCAGCAACAGTTCTCATTGGACCAGGACGCCTTAAGTCCATATTGTTCTTAATCTGCATAAAGATCTGTGACCTCGGCAAGTTAAATGGGGTCCAAGTAACTGGAGGTTTACCTTCAGACTGTTGTGGAGGTGATGAGTTCGGCCTTCCGAATCTCGGTGTGGAGGTCGACATCGGACCTCGATTCTGTGCTATCCTCATCCGTTTCCTGCTCGGATTTTCATCTCTCCAGTTTGGGTTTTGGTTTTTAGAGGGAGTTGGCTTCTGCGACAAGGCATGCTCCTCAGCAGTTATGAATGTCAAAGATCTAGCGTTCACCTCGCTAAAGGTGGTGGCAGGATGCTTGAGCAGACTATCTCTGAATCTCTCATGGTTAAGACCTGAGATCACAGCTGCAATTCCCACAGCCTGGTCGAAGAAGCTAACTTCCAGTACTGCATCATTGAATCTGCTCATATAATTCTTCAAAGATTCTCCATCCCTCTGTTTAACTCGCATCAGTTCAGAAGTAGTTTTCCCGATCAACCTTCTACTGGAAAACTTTGTGGCAAAAGCAGATGTCATTTCTGTATAAGAGTTGATTGACCTCAGAGGTAGACTGTAATACCAGGTTTAAGCATTACCTCGGAGAGTAGAGGGAAAGATTTTGCACATCAACGGGTCAAAGGCGTTCTGAGCCTGCATGCAAGAGTGGAAAGCATGTAGGTGATCATCGGGATCCTTCGTCCCATCATAAGTCTCAAGCTGAGGTATCTTAAAGCTAGCAAGGTAGGGTTCTAATGTGATGTTGGTGTTCAAAGGGTGGGGTATGGAGTCAGCAGCATGGTGTGGAGGTGGGGCACCTCGCTGTTCAGCTACTAGCTTTTCTAAGCTGTCTAGACGTCGAGTGACATCATCAGGAAGGGGTTGCTGAGCTGGTGCTATGTGAGATTGACCTTGAGATTCACTAAGAGCAGGAGCATGCTGAACTGGTTCAGGGTTTTGTTGTGGAGCTGGGGGTTGTGGAGCAGGGTTAAGTAAATTGATGAGGGGATCACCAGGGTTGCTCCGAACTAAGAGCTGAGCCAACACTAGCTGAAAGACACCAAACTGTTGTTGCATGGCAACAAGCTAAGCTGCAACTACGTCTTGGTTGGCCGTGGAAGCTGAGTTGTGAGTTGAATTGTGTGGTTGATTTTCATCTCCTCTTTCTGCATGATCAACAGGAGGGAACATATTTGGGATCAGAGGTGGGAGGTGAGGTGGAAGGTTGCTGGGGACCTGACCTCGTCCAAGAGGCTGAGATGAGTTTCTAGCTCGAACTGATCGAGTATTAACCATGATGAGAGAGCAAAAAAAGAGCTTTCAGTTCGGTTTCCCACAGACGGCGCCAAATGTAATCGCACCAAACCAGAAGTCCTTCTTCAGTCCGCGTCTGCACTCCGAATTGACCTGCAAAGCCCCGAGGTGGAACTCCGGGTAGACAGTCCGATACTTAAGTCAACAATAATCGGGGCTACCCTTAGAGTGAAAATAAAAAGAGCTTAGGGTTGATTTCAATTACCTTTTTGACGTGGCACCTGGAGGGTATTTATAGGCTTCAGTGAGGAACCCACGTGGCATGCCAAGCAAGATATTCGGAGTCTGACGTGTCTCTCCAAACGGTTATTTCGGGACCGGGAAATTGAGAGATATTCAGATGCAAGGATGTCCATCATAACTGCTGTGCAGCTTATCATAAGGAATCAGGTGCGAGTATGCTTATTGTCGCTGTCATGCAGTTGTTTAAGCGGGAAGTTTTGGATTTATCCTTCACTTCGATTATACAAGAATTACTGTCGTACGTCCGAGGTTGGGCACCTCGGTCCTACCTTTACAGAAGCTCAGATCTTACTTCTTCTCCTTACTTAAGTAGCTCTTATCCATCTTTCACTACCTCTTCACCCGTTCCTCTACCAAGCTCACTCTCGTTATCAACAAAAAGTGCAACTTGTCAAGAAACGAAGTCCACGATGCCGCCGAGCTCTATCTCCCCACCAAGATCAGGCCCAAAACAAAGCGGCTCAGGCTCAGCAAAATCAAGAGGCAAGAGAATTTCGCTATCTCACTGGATAATGATGAAGAGATCGTCGATATTTTTGGCGGAATTCAATTGAAATGGAGGTATAAGTGTGATCGCATACAGACTCATCCGAAAGAAAGTATTAAAAAGGAAAAATACTTCGAACTCAGTTTCCACAACAGGTTCAAAGATCAAGTGGTCGACTTTTATTTGCCTCATGTTTTGGACAGGGCTGAACAAATCAAAAAGGAGACCAGAGTGGTTCAAATCTATAGTTTTGACCCTGATAGCAGCCGTTGGACTTCCACAATTCTTGAGCATCCAGCGACATTCTACACCGTAGCCATGGCTCTAGAGCTGAAGAAAACGATAATCGATGTAGGATCTCAAACATTTACAAACTATTCAACATTCCCCCACTAGTTTGGAAATGTTAATTCAGTTCTACTTGACAAGTAACATGCTTAAAGAAGGTATCTCTCAATTTAAACCTTCCATTAGTGTACATACTACATATCTAATGAAGTTATTGGTGTCCAAGGATTAAACCATAACTACTTATATTAGACATAAGTGTATGACACACATAAGACTTGTCTACCTAATCCAAGAGGTATAAAACCTTTTAGCACTACTATGGCCATGTGCTCATCCTGCTAATAATGGTCATTTACAAGAGAATCCAACATCTTCTTGTTGAAGCGGCACCACTTCTATGACCATTTAGGTGGAGTTCTTTATGTCGTTGTTGCTATAAACACTTAGAAATGATCAACTCCATTAAGAGTTTACACTCATCCTCCTAAACGCAACAGTCAACACTTGACTAATGTAGGAATAGGTTTCAAGTGCTAAATAGGCATATATAGTAACTTGTTCTTACCCATTAAACTTTAAATTTAAAAATGACTAAATAAAAGTTGGGTTCCCATTACCAATGCCTAATTTAAATATTTAAGCCCAATTCCTAATGACATCCTTTCCACCACATCTCATGGTAATGCTTTTGTGAGAGGATCAGCTAGATTGTCTGCAGACCTTACATAGATTATTGTTATAACTCCACTAGTGCTCAACTCTCGAATATAAGTATGTCTGAGACTAATATGTCTAGATTTCCCATTATAAATATTGCTATATGCTCTAAACATTGTAGCCTCACTATCATAGTGCAAGGAAATGGCTGGCATAGGTTGTTGCCACAACTTTATATCAAGCAATAAATTTCTCAACCATTCTGCTTCCATTGTAGAATGTGAGATGCATGTTTGTTTCTTTGATGCCCAACTTATTGCACCTCCTCCAAGTGTAAAGATCCAACCCAAAGTAGATTTGTTATCACTCTCACTAGTGATCCAACTTGCATCAGTGTATCCTTTTAAGACCACTAGATAATTTGAGTAAATTAAACCAAGCTCTTTTGTCTTTTTAAGATAACCAAGAATTCTTCTAATAGCTTTCCAATGTTCATGGCTTGGTTTACTTGTGTATCTTGATAATTTGCATACTGCAAAGGCTATATCTAGCCTAGTACAATGCATGGCATACATTAAACTCCCTATTGCACTGGCATATTCCAATTGAGCAACAATATGACCTAGGTTTAAGGTCAACTTCATACTAGGATCATATGGAGTAGGGGCTTCCTTTATATTAAGATGTTGGAATTTATTCAACATCTTCTCTATATAATGTGATTGACTAAGTACAAAGCCATGATCATGTCTCTTTACTTTAATACCCAAAATAGTATCTACTTCATTTAAATCTTTCATTTTGAAGAATGAAGTTAGATACTTTTTGGTTTCATTTATTCCCAACATGGTGGTACCAAATATCAACATGTCATCAACATAGAGACATACTATAACTCCATAATCCTTAGTGAACTTTGAATAGATACACTTATCTGCATCATTATGCTTGAATCCATTTGCTAGAATATGTGTATCAAATTTCTGGTGCCATTGCTTGGGAGCTTGCTTTAGGCCATATAGTGACTTAACTAATTTACAAACTTTTATTTCATTTCCAAGAAGTATGAAACCTTCTGGTTGTTCCATGTATACTTCCTCACTTAAGTCACCATTCAAGAATGCTGTTTTAACATCCATTTGATGCACAAACAGCTTATAAATCAAAGCCAATGCAAAGAAAACTCTTATAGATGTTATTCTTGCAACATGAGCATATGTGTCAAAATAATCTATTCCTTCCTTTTGAGTAAAACCTTTTGCAACCAACCTTACTTTGAAGGTTTGTATTGTTCCATCTGTATTGTATTTTCATCTAAATACCCATTTACAACCAATTGGTTTAGAACCATACAGATGATTCACTAAAATCCAAGTATTATTGGACATGATAGAGTCCATCTCATCCTTCACAGCTTCTCTCCAAAAGGCTGCACTCCTTGAAGCCATTGCTTCTTGAAATGTTTTTTTATCTTCTTCAACATTTAATACCATGGGTTTTTTTCGAATTATTTCAGTTCTATTTGCTTCAACTAGGAAGACAATAGATTGAGAAGAAATAAAATCAGGATCAAGGGACTTTTCTCTCCTAATCCTTGTACTTCTTCTTGGTTCAATTGAACCATCACTCTCTTTTCTTTTCTCCTCATGAAGTGTACTTGTACTTGTACTTGTACCATTATGATTTTCATGCATTGAATTATTCAAAGAATTTCCAGAATCAAACATAGTAGAAGAATCTTTAATAAACTTGTCTTCAAAGAACTCAACATGTACATATTTTACTATAATATTTGACTCTAAATCTAGTAACCTATAGGCCTTAGAATTAATTGCATAACCAACAAATGCACTTCTAATGCCTCTAGGTCCTAGTTTTGTTCTTTGTGGGTCTGGAACCTTATAAAAGGCAAGACACCCCCACACTTTGAGATAATTCAAATTTGGTTTTTTACCATTATTCCAAGTCTCATATGGAGAAACATGAGTTTTCTTTGATGGAATTCTGTTGGTAACATGATTGGTAGTAAGAAGTGCCTCTCCCCAAAGATTAAATGGCAACTTCAAATTTATCAACATGCAATTAACCATGTCAACCAAAGTTCTATTTTTTCTTTTTGCCAAACCATTCTATTGGGGTGAATAGGGGGTTGTTCTTTAATGTATGATGCCATGTTCTTCACAAAATTGTGAAAACATATCTGAAAAATACTCACCACCCCTATCACTACAAAGAGCTTTAATTCTCTTCTTTTTTTGATTTTCCACAACAGATTTATACTCTTTAAACTTGTCAAAAGCCTCATCTTTTGTTCTCATAAGATACACATATGTATATCTAGAACAATCATCAATAAATGTTATGAAGTATCTTTTACCTCCTCTAGTAAGATGACCATTTAATTCACAAATATCAGAATGCACTAACTCTAACATTTCTATATTTCTTTCTCTTTTTGGAAAAGGTTTTCTAGTCATCTTTCCTTGCACACAAATTTCACATTTATTTTTAAAATCATTTTGACAAGTTAAATATCAATGCTTAGACATATATTTTAATGATTCATAATTCATATGTCCTAGTCTAGTATGCCATAAAGTAGAAGAACACTCAACAATAGAAGCAGAAACATTTTTTATTTCATTAATACTCAATTTGAACATTCCATCACAAGAATAACCTTTCCCCACAAAGTTGCCATTTTTTGATATAATGGCCTTGTCTGATTCTAAGACAACCCTCAAGCCCCTTTTACACAATAGATTTACAGACACCAAATTCTTTCTAATATCAGGCACATGGAAAACATTAACCAAGGTCAATTTGTGGCCCAAAGTGAATTTTAATTCCACTGTGCCTTTGCCTAGAACTTTTGCAGTGACATTGTTTCCCATAAGCACTTCCTCTAGTTCTTTCAAATCTTCATAAAACTTGAATTGTGCTTTGTTATTGCACACATGAACTGTTGCACTAGAATCCAGCCACCAATCCATAGACTTGGTTGGATTTGCCATGTTCAATTCAGTCACCATCTCGACTTGCAAATCAGAAACCATAGCAACCAATTCATGCTCAATCAAATTTGCCTTGTTGCTTGTTTCTGCACTGGTGCCAGAACCAAAGTTCCTTACATTATTCCTGAATTTGCAATCTTTAATGAAGTGACCTTTCTTACCACAATGGTAACAAGGCTGACTTTTCTTGAAAGAAGCTTTCTTGAAAGAAGCTTTCTTGAAAGCACTGTTTTTCTTAAAATGCTTGAGTTTATTCTGGAAAGGCTTGGCTGAATTTTGACTCACATAATTAACTTTCAAGGGTGCCAATATTGAATCTCTTGAACGATTTTCTACCTCAATCTGGAGATGTGTTTGAAATTGTTCCATAGTCAGAATTTCATTTGAATGCAGAACCTTTTTCCTATAATCATTTCAAGATGGAGGAAGTTTTGAAAGTATTACCCTCACTTGAAGTGAATCTAGAATCTTTATCTCCAACTCTGACATTCTTGATACCAGAATTTGTAATTCATGCACTTGATCCGTGATGGAATTGTCATCTTTCATTTCAAACTCAAAGCATTTAAGTGCAAGAAACTTGTTCGTACCTTTCTTTTCATGCTTGTATTTCTTTTCCAGAGCAATCCAAATTTCTTGAAGAAAAGACATGTTGCGATACAGATCATAAAGTCTATCAGTGAGAGAATTCAGAATATGTCCACGACATATGAGTTCATCTTCTTCACGCTTCAGTCTTGCATTCTTCACTGCTTTAGAATCGTTTTCCTTCGATACTTGGATAGGTTGCAGTTTTGGATCAAGAACGTATGACACCTTCAGTGTTGTTAGTAGGAAAGTCGTCTTATCCTTCCAACGCATGTAGTTGGTGCCATCGAACCTATCCAATCTAACTGCATCTGGATTTAGCAACTTGATGTTGGCATTCATAGGAAGAGCCATAAGGATTTTAAATCCTTAAGATTGTTAAGAAATATTAAATAACAGAAGAATAAAAGAATTGTTCTAAGGCGTGACCTCACTTTCCTTAAGGATTTAAAATCTTTAAGGATACAACAAAACTCAAAACTCTCTTAGAATTAAATGTAGAACTCTGACAGTACATAAGAATTTATAATGCCTGAAAAGTCACTATTTGAAGGGATGTATCCCTCCAAAAGACACTATTTCATAGAGGTACCTTTTGATTGCCAATAGTCATGTCTAATTTTCAAACATGTCTTTCCAAATTATAATTTAATAAAATAAAATAAAAAATCTAAAAATAATAAAAAATTAAAGATGTTCTGATAGTCAGATTTTCAAACATGTCTTTCCAAATTATAATTTAATAAAATAAAATAAAATAAAAAATATGAAAATAATAAAAAATTAAAGATGTTCTTGCAGTCAAGCCCCAAGGTGCCCCAAGTGCTCATCTTTTGATTATATATAAAGGGCCAAGGCCCAATTTCCCTTGGGTTTCACTTAATTATTTGTTGATAAAGAATAGACATTTATAAACTCCTTTAAATTCCCATACTTTATTGATGTGGGATCTCAAACATTTACAAAATATTCAACACAAGCTGTGGGGACGACAGAATTATTGTGTTCACGACCAACCACAAGGACAGGCTTGACTCGGCACTACTGCGTCCAGGCAGGATGGATATGCACATCAACCTGTCCTATTGCAAGGTGGATGGGTTCAGGATCTTGGCTTCTAATTACCTGGACATCAACAACAGAGACCATCCCCTGTTTGGAGAAATCGAGAGCTTGATAGAGAGCACGGAGGTGACCCTAGTAGAAGTGGCAAGGGAACTGATGACAAGTGAAGATGCTGACCTTGCTCTTCGAGGACTTGCTAAGCTCATTAAACACAAGAGTAAATGCGATGAAATTGAGGAGGAAGTTGTTGAGATTAAAGAAGCAAACGGTTTTAAAAGTAATAATGAGGAAAAGGAAATTAGTGTTAGGTGGAAGAGACGAGGGGAGTCAAGATGGCAACACGAAGATGGTGAGGAAAGGGAGGGACAAGGGATTGACTGAGTAGAAGTGCCAAAAAGTTTTCACTAAAAAAATACAATATAAACTTTAGTTGCAGAGTCCCTACTTCAGTTGATGTTCTTGTTAACTGATGAGCTAAATTTATATACATATTAATAGAGAATTTTTACTTTGATTTTATTGATATTTGGATCAGTTTTATAAGATTTTGTTTAATTTTACAAGGTTTTCATTCTTTGTGTAGAAAATGATTTAATTGGAAAAAATCCTACTTTTTAGAAGTAAATTGAAGAGATCAGAGACTTGAGGATCAACTTGTGCAGAATCCAAAAGTCAGGAACCAAATCTGCTATTTTACCATTGAAGAAATTGCAAAAGGAGAGCAGAAACTCGACACGGGTGTAGTGTCGACACATGATCGGGGTGTCGACACCATGCGCTAAACGTCCAGAATCAGATTCTGTTTCCTATTTTGTGTCAACACGTAATCCGAAGTGTCAACACCACGCGATCAGCATCTAAAATTCAGTTTCCTATTTCTATTCCAAGTCCTACTTCTATTTCAATTAGGGTTTCTAAAATCCTATAAATACCCATTTAAATTCAAAATGAGGAGAGTTTTGAGAGGCTAGTGGCAGCCTTCGTTTGGGCATTATTGGAGATCAAGATTGAGGTTCCATCAACAATAGAAGATCAAGAAGTTCGATTTTCTCAAATTGGGTTTTTTTTTTCCTTGGATTTTTATCTATTGTTTGATATTTGAATGTTCATAACTTTGATTTCATATTTTATTATTTTTACTATGAACTGATTTATTCTACTAGGGTTATGATGTACCCTAATCAATTCAATATAGATTTTGTGATTTTATGCTTTTAATTAAAGTTATTTGCATGAGGAGTTTATATTATTGAACTTAATGCATTGGAAGTCTGATCATCTTTCAATTGATTTAGTGATTTATGCATGAACTTGAGAAAGAATTGAGTAGATTAGACCAATAATAATATAAACCATGTGCTAGACTATGAGATCGAGAGGTAATTAGCTCACATGTGATAGTGGAGGAAGAGAAGAGAGTTAGTAGCTCCCCCTTCTTAAACTAAAGGTTTCCATAGAATCTAATGCTCATTAGTTTGTTTAAAATTACATAGAAATATGATTAATTTAACAAACCAGTGAAGGATTAACTTGACTTGAGAAAACTAGTTAATTAATTTAGGGAAATCCGCCATCACATGCAATAACACTCAACAATTTAGTAATCCAGAATTTATATTGATTGATTATGGTGAAATCAATGCCTTAGTACCTCCTATCTTGATTAGATTTATTTGTTATTTTCTTTTTATTATTTTTAATTAAAGTTTCTTTCTATTTGATTGTTCAAATAAATTTAGATTAATTATTTTGGTACTTAGTTAGACACAATCCTCGTGGGTTCGACACTCTCTCATCATTATATTACTTGGAGCGACTAGTACACTTGCTAGGGTGATTTTAGTGCATCATTAACGTATGAGGTCAAGTCCGTTATCTAGTTGTTTACAGTATAAATTGCAAAATTTTACATTAATGCCACGTGTAAAATATTTTTTATTGGTTGGAGGAGATTGAACCATGTCAGATTTGGATTCTGGGCCCAATGACAGATCAGCACTTGTGTTGGCAAAAGAGGAGAGGTAAAAATAATTTTTTATGGAGTAATTATCTTCTTAAGACAGAAAGGTATAATGGGAGTTGAAAAATAGGAGAAGATTGTAGTTTAAAAGAGCGTTTTATCTGATAAGAGTAGAGGTGGCAAAATCTGCAAGGAGATTAGACCATGTCAAAGGGTGAGTTGTCCCACTACTTCAAGAAACCACCCTTGATTGTAACTGCAGAAAGTGGGAGGTTATGTCTGCTAAAGGAGAACAAAAAGAAAATTTTGGAAGGAAGAACGGACGGCCAGCCCTACTCAAACATCTGCAAATTTTCATACTTTCATTTTCTCTGCACATGCTTCCAAATTTCGGATTTTAGCACAGATTCCAGTAGAATTAGGGTGTTCTTCATCATTTCAGTAGACAATTTAATTTATGTACTTGCTACATCAGTTTCATTTCATGCAATGAATTTCAACATTTCAAGTTTTTCCCAGGTACTGCTCATTTTCTATCTGTAATTAATTTAGTGTTTATTTTAAGTAGCATTGCTTCAATGATTACTTGTGTGGCTTTCATGCCTCCTTCCAACTTCAAGCTCTTCAATTTATTCACTGTTCACATTTAATTTTAGTGCTAATTAGGGTTAAATTTTCAATTCTGCAGCAATTTAATTTCCAAATCCGTCAATAGATAGCATTTTAATTTTACCATAAGCATGCTTAATTTAATTTGGGTACATTTCTTTCTCGCAAGTTTATTTTAAATTGCAGGTAATTTAGAATAATTAGGATTTGTTAATTTTAAGTCACAGTAGTGTTTAAGTCCTTAGAGTTGTCCAAGGCAGATTTCATAACCCAATCTGCAAGAAGGTATCCCTCTCTCTTGCAAATCATCTGAAGGCACAATTTCAATTTTAATCCAACGTTCTTCCCACCATCCACAAGGAGGTCGACCGTGAGGAAGGAAAGGGTAATTGGGAAAGTCCTCATTTCTTACTTTCAGCAAAGTAAGTGGCACGCCCACATCCATATTTCACACATGTGAGGCCACTAAAGGATTTTTGGGGAAACAATCCTTTTTTGGCACGCCCGGTGGGACCTCACCGTGTCTTACTTACAGTTTTCAGATCTGTTGTTCTTTTTTCCAAGAAAAAGTGCAATTATGCCACCAAAAAGAAACGTTGGGAAGGCTGCCCAGACTTTACAGATTGGGCTTGGTAAAGGCAGTCCAGCACACTCAGAAGGGGAGAATGAGCCAATCATTCCACCACCATTGTCACCAATACTTAGGGAGCACTCTTTTGTCAATCCTACCTTCAACAAGGATAGTGAATCTGGAGATGATGTTGCTCAATCTGGTGATTCCCTTATGAAAGCTATGTCAGAACATATTAGCATCAAGAGGTGCACACAGTTGGAATCTGAGGCAAGAGCTCAACAAAGAAGCCAAGAAGTTGTTAGACAGTTAGATGAGTCTTTTCAGAATCTGGCTTAGAATTTGGCTCAAAGTGTAGCTCAAAGTGTAGCCGACATGCGGCGCTCTAATGAAGAAAGTGCCAGAATCTGGCGCGAGCAAAATGCAGAAAATTGGAGAGCTTTCCAAGCTAAAACAGAACAAATGCAGGAGGCATTTCGAAGTGCCAGAATTGAACCTCAGCCACAAGCAACAGATCTTCAAAGGTAGAATCAGAATATTCTAGCTCCAACACTCGGGGGACAAGTTAATCTGCCACAGCCGCCTCCCTAGATTTAGCAAGTAGCAGGCGGACCGGTGCAACCAGATCCTGTTGAGGCTGCACCACGTGCAACAGAACTGGGCAATCACCAACAACCCAGATATCTACCACCTCCGCGCCGACCAAATGGAGGACACCCACAACATAATGCACGTCCACTAAGGGAGCATTTTTAGCCTTATGTGCCACCCATGCAATAGAATCTTCAAGGTCTGCCAAGACAGTACATCAATCGTGATCAGATCATCGACATGGTGCAAGAGGCTTATGGTCTAGTTTTGAGGCCTCTAGTCAGATCAGCATACAGAAAACCATATCCAGATTTCATAGACCAAGAGAATCCTTTTCCAAGAGGGTTTAAGGTTCCAAATTCACTCTATTTTCTGGAGATGGTGGATATTCAACAATTGAACACATAAGCCGCTTCACAATTCAATGTGGCGAGGCCTCCGGTGATGATAATCTGAAGCTTAGACTTTTTTCCAGTTCTTTAACTAGTACAGCTCTCACCTGGTATATGAGTCTACCACAAAATTCAGTTTACACTTGGAGGCAGATGGAAGATCTTTTCCATATCCAGTTTTACCGTAGTGAGCCAGAAGTGTCCATGGCAGATTTATCTCATCTGGTGCAGTGACCTGGAGAAACATATGAGGCCTTTCTTGCCAGATTTCGAAAGGCCAGACTTAAGTGCAAAGTTGCCTTGCTAGAACAGGAATTTGTCAAGCTGGCACAAAATGGTCTGGACATTGAGTTAAGGAAAAAGTTTGAGGGGATGGAGTTTCGTGATTTCTTTGAGTTGTCTTACAAGGTGGCTCGTTATGAAAATTTATTACAAGAGGACACACAAAGGAAATTTGCATCTCATGGGACTTATTATGGTGATGCTAACTTTGATCTGGAAGAGACAGAAGTGGTGGTAAACAAGCCAGTTGTTTGCCCAGATCTGATTAAAGTGGTCCAGCAAACCGACAAAACAGTAAAACGTTATGTCGGAGAGGCTGAAAAACAATACACTTTTGACATTTCAAAGACTAATGAAATCTTTGACCACCTTAAAAAGAGTGGTCTAATTAAGTTGCCGCCGGGGCATAAAATCCCAATGGCTGGCGAAATTGGAAATAGAGAATATTGCAAATATCATAATTCTTGGAAACATTCTACTAATGATTGTGTGATTTTTTGGAATGTTTTACAGGATAAAATCGACAAGGGAATTCTACGTTTTCCAAATAAGGCCAAAGAAACTATGGGAGTTGATGCAAATCTATTCCCTACCATGTCTATTAGGGTGAATGCAGCAGATCTTAGGAGCATTGCCAGAGACAGAACTCAGACATACTATAGGCACAGACTTGCAGCTGATGATCTGAGATGGGTCATTGAGGAGGCAAGGGCCCATAGAAATCAGGTTAGATCAGGCTCATACCAAAGGAGAAGGCACCTGGGGCACGGGCCAACTCAGCAAAAAAAATGATGCAGATCTGAGAACTGCGATATCTAGACGAGCAGAAAAGCCCAGAATGATGGGAACGTATGGTTTATCCAAAGTTTCCTAAGGTTCAAAATTCAAGGACCTTAAGGAGGCGTTTACAACATAAGACGGCAGTAGAAAGATACCAACAGTAGATTATAGACTCGAGGGCATGGCAAATCAGGCTCAGCAGCTTCCAGCAATGAGAAAATCAGTGTGGGTTCGTAAAGAAAAAGGAAGCACATCTGGTCAGACTTCTCTAGAAAAGAATGAACCACCCAGAAGTCCAACTTCACATCGAGTTCTGACTGTGGAATCAAATGAAGAAGTTGGTTTGAAGGCGAAGTTTGATGTGTCAGATAGAGCGAAAAATTCATCAAATGTAATCTATTTTGGTGAGTTTTCCGTGAATCTATCTTGCTTGGTGATCACTCTTCCTTTGATCTTTCAAGCAAGAGAGCAATCAGAATCTGCAGTTTGTCACTAGACAGATTTGACTGAGGAAGAAGAAGTCATTGAGATCCCAGCTAAGGAAGATGGTGGTATGGATTCAGCAGATAAAATCATTTTTGAAAAACTAGAAGAGAGGATGGCCAGACATATCAGGCCATTATACACTAATGCACATCTGGATGGTATGCCGATAAATCAAGTTCTAGTTGATAATGGAGCAGCTATCAATGTTTTGCCAACTTGTATTCTGCACAAAATTGGCAAATCTTTGGGTGATTTAATGGAGACAAAAGTGACAATCAGTGACTTTACTAGTGGAGTAAATCGCTCAAGGAGAATTCTGCCAGTAGAACTTACCATTGGAAATAGAACTCTCATGTGTGCATTCTTTGTGGTTGACACCATTGCCACTTATAATGCATTACTTGAGAGAGATTGGATACATTCCAGCCGGCGTGTTCCTTCAACTCTACATCAGAAATTGATAGTCTAGAATGGTGGCAGAACTGAAGTGGTGACAGCAGATGACAAGCCGTTTGTGCCAAATACCAATGCAGTGAAAGCTCGTTATTATGATAAAGATATTGGGACTATCCGTTTCTTTGGGATGGGCCGCTATGGTAGACCTTCTGGAATTACTGCTTGCACCAGATCTGCAATGGACAGACAGACTGTGAAGGAGGTGTGTGATGAACTATTTCGGCCTACAGCAATTGTTCCTTTTAGGCCGAGGGAGGAACCTAAATCGAAGAAATTCCATGAAGAAGGATCGAATTAAGCACCAAAAGAAGGAGGCCATGGAAGAAATCAAAAGAAATTTAGCGACTTACCTTACAGAAAAACAAATCTGTGTAAACAGATCTAAAGTAGTTTATGAAGGTGAAGAGGAAGACTTGAAGGATCAAATAACTTTGAAGGAATTAGATCTGGCACCAGCGAAACTCGATGATTTGAAGGCAGAAGTACAAGATCCCCTAGAAGAGGTAAATCTAGGTATTGAGGTAGACCCGAAAATTACTTTTATTAGCGGTTCTCTTGAACCATGTTTGCATGATAAAATTATCAATATTTTGCGTGAATACAAGGACTATTTTGCTTGGGACTATTATGAAATACCAGGTCTGGACAGAAATCTGGTAGAGCACAGATTACCAATTAGAGAAGATTTCAAGCCTTTTAAACAGCCGCCTAGACGAATGTCTCCAGAAGTCACCTTGAAAGTCAAAGAAGAGATAGAGCAGCTGTTGAAGGTTGGTTTCATCAAAACTTCCAGATATGTGGAATGGTTATCTAATGTGGTTCCTGTGGTTAAAAAGAATGGCAAGCTAAGAATCTATGTAGACTTTAGAAATCTGAATCTGGCAACACCAAAAGATGAATATCCTATGCCTATTGCAGATTTATTGGTGGATGGTGCAGCACACCACCGAATTCTGTCATTCATGGATGGCCACAGTGGATACAACCAGATTTTTATAGCAGAAGAGGACATTCCAAAGACCACTTTCTGTTGCCCAGGAGCTATTGGTACGTATGAATGGGTGGTAATGTCATTTGGTTTAAAAAATGCAGGCGCAACTTACTAAAGAGCCATGAACGTCATCTTTCATGATATGATTGGTCGTTTTATGGAGATTTATATTGATGATATGGTTGTGAAATCTAATGAAGATGAAGAACATCTGGGGCATTTAAAGCTGGCTTTTGAAAGAATGAGGAAGCATGGTCTAAAGATGAATCCTTTAAAATGTGCATTTGGCGTTTCTGTTAGAAATTTTCTGGGATATTTGGTGCATGAGCAAGGCCTGGAAGTGGATCAAAACAAGGCAAGAGCTGTTATTGAAGCACAGCCGCCAAGAAGTAAAAAGGAATTACAAAGATTCCTTGGGCAAGTAAATTTTTTAAGACGTTTTATTTCAAATCTGGCAGGAAAGACAAGAGTTTTTCCGCCACTGCTGAAGCTGAAATCAGAAGCAGATTTTAAATGGGAGAGACACCATCAGACCGCCTTTGAGGAAATAAAGCATTATTTATCAAAACCGCCGGTCTTAGTGCCTCCTTTAAGAGGCAAACCTTTGATTTTGTGCATATCTGCCGCAGATGAATCTGTAGGTTGTCTGCTGGCTTAAGAAAATAGTAAAAAGCAAGAACAAGCTGTTTATTATTTGAGTCGAAGTCTATCACAGACCGAAGTGAAATATTCTTCGGTCGAAAAATTATGTCTTGCTTTGTTTTTTGCTGCAATAAAATTGAGGCATTATTTGCTTTATTTTGAGGTTTATGTTATTTCAAAAACAGATGTGATAAAGTATATGTTGTCTCGACCACTGCTGAGAGGTAGAATTGGAAAATGGGTTCTGGCTTTGTCATCATTCAACCTGAAGTACATGCCTCAAAAAGCTGTCAAGGGGTAGGCCTTGGCAGATTTCCTAGCAGATCATCCGTGCCTGGAAGTAGAAGCGGATGAGGGAAAAGGTATTAATTTATTTTCCATAAATTTGGTACCTTGGAAGCTTATCTTTGACGGATCTAACACAGATTCTATGTCTGGAGCAGGAATTATTATTATTTCTCCAGCTAGTTTGAAAACCCAGATGTCATTTCAGTTAGATTTCAATTGCACCAACAATCAAGCTGAATATGAGGCATTGATTATTGGCCTAGAAGTGTTGGTAGAGCTCAAGGTACCTGTGGTAGAAATAATTAGTGATTCACAATTAATTTTAAAGCAATTAGAAGGTGAGTACAAGTGCACTAGTTTGTCTTTGGCACCTTATTTTGCTTTGGCATACAGCTCTTGGAGGAATTTGATGATGTGATCTTGAGGCATGTTACACGAGATCTGAATATAGAAGCAAATGAGATGACACAAATTGCCTCGTGTTTAAAAATCCCAGAAGGCGTGATGAGCAGAATTGTTGTTGTGAAAAAACGAATTCTGCCATCTATTCACATGCGTGGTATGGCAATCTCTGCTTGTTCCATAGATGTAACCTAGACAGATTGGCATTATCCGATCATGAAATACCTAAAAATCCAAATTTTAAGGCCTCAAGAAGAACAAAAATGCAGGCCTTGAATTATGTTCTGTTGGAAGATGTTCTTTATAGAAAAGGACATGATGAATTACTTCTACGCTGTCTTGGTCCAGATGAGTACTGCCAGATTATGTCATATGTGCATAACGGAATCTATGGTGCGCACCAAGTTGGAATTAAGATGAGATGGCTAATTCGCAAACATGGATTCTTTTGGCCATCGATCTTGAAAGATTGCATCAGCTATGCTAAAGGTTGCAAAGCCTGCCAGATTCATGGACCACTGTAAAAAGTTCCAGCATCAGAACTCCATCCAATCGTCAAACCATGGCCATTTCGAGGATGGGTGTCTCGCCTCAAAATTAATACCCTTTGGCTAAGTGGTTGTTGTAGCGTAGCTTTAGGTGTCGAATCCACAAGGAAGCTATATTAAATCAACAAAAAGAGTTGTCACAATGAGAAATTAAATTAAAAGATGAATTCTAATATTAAGAATAAAAATATTTAAATAAAAGATGATAATTGTAAAAGATTGAAAACAATATTATGATGAACAAGACTTCAGGGTTCACTTAATTGATTTGTTTAACTATTATAAACTTTGATTCCTATTTATTACTCAATTGCATGTTTCACATCCCAAACAAAAAATCGGAAGATTCAACTTTAAAAACCAATAATAATGACTGATGTATTTATTTTGAGAAAAATTAATTTCAATGAAGAACAAACTTATCTATCCTTACGAGCTATCCGAGAGCGACAATATATCTAATCGACAATACTGCAGTAAAGGATAAACCTGCAAAACAAATCTACCAATCAATTATATTTTAACAAATCACAAATAAAAAGAGCATGACTAATCCTATATGAAATTTGATAAATATAATTTTCAAGGTTTGCAAGTCTGAAAATAATTAATAATTTCTCAAAAACAAAATTAAACAATAAAATCTATGAAGGAATCAAAATAAAATAACAAGTCAAACTCTTCAATCAAGATCCTCCCTAGTCTTGTTGAAAGTTTAGTTGCCCTTTGACATAATTCTCTAGCCTTGAAGAAGAAAATAGAAGTCTGGTAGCAGCCTCTCCAGCCGTGGAACCCCTTCTAAAATAACTTGGATGGGTATTTATAGAATCCTAGAAACCCTAATTAGAATGGATGTGGGGCCCACATCACAATAATTAGGACAGATATGATTTGGCTGAATTATCGCGCAAGGCGTCGATACTCTTTACAAGGTGCTGGCACTTTGAGTGGAGCGTCAACTGCATCCTCCGTGTCGGGTTTTTGGCCTTTTGTGCAATTTTGGTTAATGGCAAAATAACAGTCTTGGTCCCTAACTCCTGGATTTCGCACAAGTTGATCATCATATTTCTGATCTTTGCAATTTGCTCCTTGCATTTAAGTCCTTTTTCTAATTCTTCTCCATTTAACATCAACCTTCAATCACCATAAAATTTGCATAACATGAATAAAATGAACACTTATGAAATTACTTGTAGAAAAATAAAACTCTTAAACCCATAATTCCACAAATGTCAATGGTTAAGCACACTTTGAATATACATTTTCATGCTTTCATTAATGGGCCATAGATTTGATCAGTAAAGTTTATCCTCGTTCAACTAGAGGGCATTCTTTTATTATTGTTGCCACATATTACTTTACCAAGTGGGTGGAAGCAGAGCCAATGAAGAAGGTTAACCAGACCGATATTATTATATTTCTTAAGGAAGAAATCATTCACAGATTCGGTTTGCCAGAAACAGTGACTTCAGATCAGGGGATAGTTTTGTTGGTGCACAAGTTGAGGCGTTTGCAAAAGAAATGGGATTTAGGTTACTCACTTCAACCTCTCATTATGCTCAAGCCAATGGTCAAGCTGAAGTTTCCAACAGAATTGTGATAAATCTGCTTGAAAAAATGGTTGATGATAATCCAAGGCGTTGGCATGAGCTGTTATCTAACACAATCTGGGCTTACAGAACTTCACAAAGGAGTTCTACCAAGGTAACTCCATTCTCTTTAACTTATGGACATGATGCTGTTCTGCCCATGGAGTTGTCTACTAGATCATTGCGTATAGTAATTCAACATGGTCTCACTTCTGGAGAATATAATGAAGCAATGATTCTAGAGTTAGAAGACCTTGAAGGTATGCGATTGACTGCCTTAAATAGGCTACAAACGCAGAAATTAAAAGTGGCTCGAGCATACAACAAACAGGTGAAATCCAAAAGTCTGGCAGAAGGAGATCTGGTATGGAAAGTAATTCTGCCACCTGGAAAGAAAGACCCCAGATTTGGAAAATGGTTTCCAAATTGGGAAGGACCATTTCGTATACCTGAAGTGCTTAGAGAAGGAGCATATTGGCTTGAATCATTAAATGGAGAGTTATATCCTTGAAAAATAAATGGAATCTACCTTAAGCCTTACTATCCTATGATATGGGAGGCTAGGGGTTCGAATACCATTGGTTCTACGTGAGACAGATTTGAGGTAGGATTTGTATAGTATTTTATTTCATTGTTTAGCATTTTATCATTCAATAAAAGTGCTGAGCTGAATCTGTAAGTAGGCTAAATCTGGCTGTGAACAACCACAGCGGCCAGATTTCGCCCATGTCAGATTTCAACCTGTAACAGAGTATGAACAAAAAGTACAAGCAGCAGATTTCCAGAATATGAGCCAAGAAAAAGATTAACATTGAAAAGGTAGTTTGCGTGGCCAATAGGCCGCAAACAATAAGTTCAAACATGACAATGTGCAATTTCAGCCAACAAAGAGAAAAAGAGATACATAAAAGAAAAATCAACAAAAGTTGTTTTGCCAAGTACTCCATTCTTCTCTCATGTTCTTGATTTCTTCAGCGGCTTCATCTGTAGAAGCTGTGAAAGAAGGTAGCTAATCCTTGATCTTGGAAGCAGATTTCAAACCAGCTTCTATGTCTACGCAGAGCTTATTTCTTTGTTCTGCCAAACTCTTCTCAGTTTGCTCCGCAAGAGGAACCTAGTTTCTTAACTCTGAAAGCTTGGCTTCAAGGTTAGAAATTTCTTCTTTAAGCTCTTGGAGATGTTTAACTTGTGTGACATGAGCAACTTTGCCGCCAAGAATTCTTCCTTCTTCTTAAAGACAGCGGTAGTGCTATCCGCTACAGATTTTCTCACAGATTCTACAGCCGCTACTTTGTTCTCAAG